GTGGTGACCGTGGTGACGGTGGTGGTGGTGGTGGTGGCGGTGGTGGTGACGGTGGTGACGGTGGTGGTGGTGACAGTGGTGGTGGTGGTGGTGGTGGCGGCGGTGGTGGTGGTGGTGGTGGTGACGGTGGTGGTGGTGGTGGTGGCGGTGGTGGTGGTGGTGGTATTGGTGACGGTGGTGACGGTGGTGGTGGTGTCGGTGGTGACGGTGGTGGTGGCGGTGGTGATGGTGGTGATGGTGGTGGTGGTGGTGGTAACGGTGGTGGTGGTGGTGGTGGTGACGGTGGTGGTGGTGACGGTGACAGTGGTGGTGGTTGGTTGTGGTGACGGTGGTCACGGTGGTGGTGACGGTGGTGACGGTGGTGACGGTGGTGGTGGTGACAGTGGTGGTGATGATGGTTGGTGATGATGGTGGTGGAGATGCCGTGGTGGGAAGGCCATCTTAGGCGTCTATGACGTCTCCTGGCCAAACCCCATTTGGCGGAGCCAGGAGATTGAATCTTTACCCTCGGGGCTCCTCCAGAAACAACAAAAAAGCCACTACGTGTGGTCACGTGGAATGTTCGAAAGCTCACTGCGGAGGAGAGGCTGCCACTCCTCTGTCGGGAGCTGGACCGGTACCGCCTGGATTTCTGCGGCATTCAGGATGTCCGGTGGACCCGCTCTGGCTCCTGCCACCGTGAGGAGTGGACAGTCCTCTACTCGGGGCAGGAGACTGCCAAACAACAAAAGAATGAAGTGGGCGTGGGAGCGTGGCAGTGAGGTGTGGGAAACTGTACGCCCTGGGCTACTGTGGCCTTGCCTCCCCATTCACCAGATGCGAGGAGTGGTGGTCGTGGTTACTTATGCCCCACCGAAGATGAACATCCGTGTAGGGATGCAGGCAAGGCCGATGAGTCAGATGCCTTCTATGACTTCCTGTCACAGACGCTAGCTAAAGTGGCCCCTCGGGATAGAGTCATCTTGTTGGGTGACTTCAATGCCCAAGTTGGTCATGATGCTGGCACCTGGTCTGGAGTGATTGGAAGGCATGGGCCAGATCAGCTCAATAACAACGGTAGGAGGCTGCTAGATTTTTGTGCAGCCCATGGGCTTGTAATTACCAACACGCTGTTCCGGCATCGTCACATCCACACAACATCATGGATGCACGCCGGGTCCCAGCAAGAACATCTGCTGGACTACATAGTGACGGAACAGCGGATGCGGGTCCATGTCCTTGACACCAGGACCTACTGTGGAGCTGATCTGCCCACTGACCATCGACTTGTCATCTGTAAGACGCGCCTGCCATTCTTCCACTCCGGTGGTGGGTGTACACCCACCACCCCATTCCAACCTAAGGTGGCCTGGTCTCAGCTAGCTGACGGTAGTTGCAAGCGAGAATTTCAACATCGCTTGCAGTTGGGGTTGGCATCGTCCCCGTACCCCCCACTCCTCCTGATGTCGAGGGTAAATGGGCGAGGTTCAGGACTGTGGCTCATTCAGCTGCAACGGCTGCATTGGGTACGCGGTCCAGACCTCCCCAGAGACCCTGGCTGAAGGTGGAGGTGTTCCCGCTGGTTGAGTAGAAAGCGACAGGCCCACTCCCACCGTCTACGATATCCAGCATGGGAGAAAGAGGCGGCTTAGCGCATACTTTGCTAGGGGATCTAACCCAAAAACCTTTATTATGAATAATATTGGTCGCGAAAGCCTACGTGTTAAACTTTGCTAGGAGATTCGTGCGGGCGCTGCAAGGATGGGTGGTGGGCACTGGCTGCTGAGGAGATGAGGTCTGCCTCAGTAGCCCACAATCACAAATCGCTCTTTAATTCCATCAAAGAAAAGTAACTTGCAGCACCTCACCTATCACGATCCTTAGATTTGCGGAGTATTTCCTGCAAAGGTCTTGGGGGAAGGAGAATTCCCTCAGCCCAGACAACACCATGGGGCAAGGTGGGGATGACGCTGCTAGGGCTTGCAGTGCCTCACTCCACATGAAGCCTCAGGTCTTATCGGCCACAGTCATGCCCTTATCTATGCTTGTGGAACATGGACCCCTCTAATGGAACATCTGTGCCAGTGAGAAACATTCAGGCTGGCCTGCCTACGATCCATCCTGGGTTTAACCAGACTGGATTGTGTGAGGAGCTCACAAATCCTTGGAAGATCTGGACACATTCCCATCGGTGAGCTCCTCCGGCAGGCAAGGCTGCGATGGCTGGGTCATGTAGCCCGCATGCCCAGCCGCCGCATGCCTAAACAGCTTTTGTTCGGCCGGATCGAGGGGGCTAAACGGGCGCGGCACGGGCTAGAGAAGAGATGGAGTGATGTGGTACAGGGGGACGTGGAGCTGAGTGGACTTGCCGATGACTGGTACCAGCGGTGTCAAGATCGGCCTCTGTGGAGGAGGCTCGTGAAGGACGCTACTGGGCAGTTGGAGGCAGTCGCCCTCCAACAACAACGGAGGGCGGAGGAGCGACGCTCACAACAACGAGCGGAGCGCCGGGTGGCTAAAGCACAGCAGGTTGGCACAGTAGGGGGCACAGGTGGTGCATCAGCCGGTAGTCATCTCAGTCATCTCAGTCAGTCGACCCGTGGCACCTGCTGGGTCTGTCCCGTGACCTCCTGTCAGCAGGGAGCCTTCGACACCTCACGTGGCCTCAAAATGGTGCACCTAGCCTGGCACAGGCGCCGTGGTGACGTCACCGTCACTTACTGGTGAATGGCGGGTGTTAGTGGTGATGATGGTGTTAGTGGTGGTGATGATGTTGATATCGATAGTGCTCGTGATGAAGGTGGTTGTGGTGATGGTGATAATGATGATGATGGTGTTGATGATGGTGATGATATTGATGGTGATGATGTTGATGCTAGTGGTGATGGCGCTAGTGATGATGATGGTGCTACTGATGATGGAGCTAGTGATGATGTTGGTGGTGGTGATGAAGATGTTGGTGGTGATGATGTTGATAGTGATGATGTTGGTGGTGGTGATGATGATGGTGCTAGTGATGATGGCGTTAGTGATGATGTTGATGGTGATGATGATGGCGCTAGTGTTGATGGCGACGATGTTGATGGCGACGATGTTGATGGTGACGATGTTGATGGTGACGATGTTGATGGTGACGATGTTGATGGTGACGATGTTGATGGTGAAGATGTTGATGGTGACGATGTTGATGGTGACGATGTTGATGGTGACGATGTTGATGGTGACGATGTTGATGGTGACGATGATGGCGCTAGTGTTGATGGTGACGATGTTGATGTTGACGATGTTGGTGGTGGTGGTGGCAGAGTTCGAGTTGGTCCAGAATGCCATCTTCACCGACCCCGACGATCAGAGCGCCTGGCTGTACCATCGCTGGCTACTGGGCAGAGGTACCTCTCACTGCCCCCTCCCCCCTCCCGTCCGCCTTTGTCTTCCCCGCTCCCCCCCCCCCTCCCCGTGCGAAGCAGAGCAGAGTTGGTTCGGATTTTTGTAGCGTTTCACGCGGGAAGACTCACGGGGACTCGCACAGAGACTCACAGACTCACACATAGAGACCCGTAGACTCACACAGAGACTCGTAGACTCAACACATAGAGACCCGTAGACTCAACACATAGAGACCCGTAGACTCACACAGAGACTCGTAGACTCAACACATAGAGACCCATAGACTCAACACACAGAGACCCATAGACTCATCACATAGAGACCCACAGACTCACCACACAGAGACCCATAGACTCATCACACAGAGACCCACAGACTCACCACACAGAGACCCACAGACTCACCACACAGAGACCCATAGACTCATCACATAGAGACCCATAGACTCAACACATAGAGACCCATAGACTCGTCACACAGAGACCCAGAGACTCGCACAAAGACCCATAGACTCATCACACAGAGACCCATAGACTCATCACATAGAGACCCATAGACTCAACACATAGAGACCCATAGACTCATCACACAGAGACCCATAGACTCAACACATAGAGACCCATAGACTCAACACATAGAGACCCATAGACTCACACAGCAGAGACCCGTAGACTCGCACAGAGACCCGTAGACTCATCACAGAGACCCATAGACTCATCACACAGAGACCCATAGACTCAACACATAGAGACCCGTAGACTCACACATAGAGACCCATAGACTCACACATAGAGACCCATAGACTCACACAGAGACCCACAGACTCATCACACAGAGTCCCATAGACTCATCACACAGAGACCCACAGACTCATCACACAGAGACCCATAGACTCATCACACAGAGACCCATAGACTCACACAGAGACCCATAGACTCACCACACAGAGATCCATAGACTAAGCACACAGAGACCCATAGACTCATCACACAGAGACCCACAGACTCACCACACAGAGCCCCATAGACTCAACACATAGAGACCCATAGACTCACACAGAGACCCATAGACTCACCACACAGAGACCCATAGACTCACCACACAGAGACCCGTAGACTCATCACACAGAGGCCCGTAGACTCATCACACAGAGACCCATAGACTCATCACACAGAGACCCGTAGACTCATCACACAGAGACCCATAGACTCATCACACAGAGACCCATAGACTCAGCACACAGAGACCCATAGACTCAGCACACAGAGACCCATAGACTCATCGCACAGAGACCCATAGACTCAGCACACAGAGACCCAGAGACTCACCACACAGAGACCCATAGACTCGTATAGAGACCCATAGACTCATCACACAGAGATCAATAGACTCATCACACAGAGACCCATAGACTCACACAGAGACCCATAGACTCACCACACAGAGACCCATAGACTCACCACACAGAGACCCGTAGACTCATCACACAACGACCCATAGACTCACCACACAGAGACCCGTAGACTCATCACACAGAGGCCCATAGACTCATCACACAGAGACCCATAGACTCATCACACAGAGACCCATAGACTCATCACACAGAGACCCATAGACTCATCACACAGAGACCCATAGACTCAGCACACAGAGACCCATAGACTCAGCACACAGAGACCCATAGACTCATCGCACAGAGACCCATAGACTCAGCACACAGAGACCCAGAGACTCACCACACAGAGACCCATAGACTCGTATAGAGACCCATAGACTCATCACACAGAGACCCATAGACTCATCACACAGTGACCCATAGACTCATCACACAGAGACCCGTAGACTCGCACAGAGACCCGTAGACTCACACAGACTCACACAGAGACTCATAGACTCATCGCACAGAGACCCACAGACTCATCACACAGAGACCCATAGACTCATCACACAGAGACCCATAGACTAACATAGAGACCCATAGACTCATGCAGAGACCCGTAGACTCACACAGAGACCCATAGCCTCACATAGACTTATCACACAGAGACCCGTAGACTCACACAGAGACCCGTAGACTCACACAGAGACCCGCAGACTCACATAGACTCATCGCACAGAGACCCATAGACTCACATAGACTCATCGCACAGAGACCCATATACTCACACAGAGACACACAGACTCACATAGACTCATTACACAGTGACCCATAGTCTCGCACATAGACACACAGACTCAGGCATAGAGACCCTTAGACTCACACAGAGACCCGCAGACTCACATAGACTCATCGCACAGAGACCCATAGACTCACGCAGAGACCCTTCGACTCACACAGCAGAGACCCATAGACTCACACAGCAGACACTCATAGACTCACACAGAGACCCATAGACTCATCACACAGCAGAGACCCATAGACTCATCACATAGCAGAGACCCATAGACTCATACAGCAGAGACACATAGATCACACAGCAGACACTCATAGACTCACACAGAGACCCTTAGACTCACGCAGAGACCCCCAGACTCACACAGAGACCTGTAGACTCATCACGCAGAGACCCATAGACTCACGCAGAGACCCCCAGACTCACACAGAGACCTGTAGACTCATCACGCAGAGACCCATAGACTCACACAGAGACCCTTAGACTCACGCAGAGACCCTTAGACTCATCACGCAGAGACCCATAGACTCACACAGCAGAGACCCTTAGACTCATGCAGAGACTCTTAGACTCACACAGAGACCCATAGACTCACATAGACTCATCACACAGAGACCCAAGCACTCGCATAGACTCATCACACAGTGACCCATAGACTCACACAGAGACCCGTAGACTCACATAGACTCATCACACAGAGTCCCATAGACTCACACAGAGACCAACAGACTCACATAGACTCATCGCACAGAGACCCATAGACTCACACAGAGACCCTTAGACTCACGCAGAGACCCTTAGACTCACACAGAGACCCGCAGACTCACATAGACTCATCACACAGAGACCCATAGACTCACACAGAGACCCGTAGACTCACATAGACTCATCACACAGAGACCCAAGCACTCGCATAGACTCATCACACAGTGACCCATAGACTCACGCAGAGACCCTTAGACTCATGCAGAGACCCTTAGACTCACACAGAGACCCACAGACTCACATAGACTCATCACACAGAGACCCATAGACTCACACAGAGACCCGTAGACTCACATAGACTCATCACACAGAGTCCCATAGACTCACACAGAGACCCACAGACTCGCATAGACTCATCGCACAGAGACCCATAGACTCACACAGAGACCCTTAGACTCACGCAGAGACCCTTAGACTCACACAGAGACCCACAGACTCACATAGACTCATCGCACAGAGACCCATAGACTCACGCAGAGACCCTTAGACTCACACAGCAGAGACCCATAGACTCACACATCAGACACTCATAGACTCACACAGAGACCCGCAGACTCACACAGAGACCCACAGACTCACATAGACTCATCACACAGTGACCCATAGACTCACGCGGAGACCCTTAGACTCACACAGCAGAGACCCTTAGACTCACACAGCAGAGACCCTTAGACTCACACAGCAGACACTCATAGACTCACACAGAGACCCATAGACTCATCACACAGCAGAGACCCATAGACTCATCACACAGCAGAGACCCATAGACTCATACAGCAGAGACACATAGATCACACAGCAGACACTCATAGACTCACACAGAGACCCATAGACTCACACAGAGACCCTTAGACTCACGCAGAGACCCGCAGACTCACACAGAGACCCGTAGACTCATCACGCAGAGACCCATAGACTCACGCAGAGACCCTTAGACTCACACAGAGACCCACAGACTCACATAGACTCATCACACAGAGACCCATAGACTCACACAGAGACCCGTAGACTCACATAGACTCATCACACAGAGTCCCATAGACTCACACAGAGACCAACAGACTCACATAGACTCATCGCACAGAGACCCATAGACTCACACAGAGACCCTTATACTCACGCAGAGACCCTTAGACTCACACAGAGACCCGCAGACTCACATAGACTCATCACACAGAGACCCATAGACTCACACAGAGACCCGTAGACTCACATAGACTCATCACACAGAGACCCATAGACTCACACAGAGACCCTTAGACTCACACAGAGACCCGCAGACTCACACAGAGACCCGCAGACTCACATAGACTCATCGCACAGAGACCCATAGACTCATCGCACAGAGACCCAAGCACTCGCATAGAGAGCCCTTCAACTCGCACAGAGACCCATGGAGTCTACTAAACTTCTAAACTAAAATTTTTTATTTTTTATTTTACCAGAGTGTAGGGCTCCCCCACCCCGGATCTTTGTTCAGAAGTGACTTGGGCATCACAACATCATAGAAGCTCACCCGAGTGGCTTAGCATCGTCATCATCATCATCATCACCACGTGTGAATGTGTAGCAGCGGCTCAACACTCTGAACGCGTGGTGACGTTGATTCTAAACGTGGAGGGGAAAAAAAACCGGAGGATCCAGAGACAAATCCACGCAGTGACCACCACGGGGAGAGATGAGAGAGAGACGCAGACTCCAAATCTACAGCAGCAGCAGCAGGCATCGTCAGGGTCGGGATCAAACCCACGACCTCCTGTGTACCAGGCGAGGTAGTCAACATCTCCTAGCCACCGTGATGTCAAGGTCTGGGATCGAACCCACGACCTCCTGCGTACCAGGCGAGGTGGTCAACATCTCCTAGCCACCGTGGTGTCAGGGTCTGGGATCGAACCCACGACCTCCTGCGTACCAGGCGAGGTAGTCAACATCTCCTAGCCACCGTGGTGTCAGGGTCTGGGATCAAACCCACGACCTCCTGCCTACCAGGCGAGGTAGTCAACATCTCCTAGCCACTGTGGTGTCAGGGTGTGGGATCGAACCCACGACCTCCTGCGTACCAGGCGAGGTAGTCAACATCTCCTAGCCACCGTGGTGTCAGGGTCTGGGATCGAACCCACGACCTCCTGCGTACCGGGCGAGGTAGTCAACATCTCCTAGCCACTGTGGTGTCAGGGTCTGGGATCAAACCCACGACCTCCTGCGTACCGGGCGAGGTAGTCAACATCTCATAGCCACTGTGGTGTCAGGGTCTGGGATCGAACCCACGACCTCCTGTGTACCGGGCGAGGTAGTCAACATCTCATAGCCACTGTGGTGTCAGGGTCTGGGATCAAACCCACGACCTCCTGTGCACCAGGCGAGGTAGTCAACATCTCATAGCCACCGTGGTGTCAGGGTCTGGGATCGAAGCCACGACCTCCTGCGTACCAGGCGAGGTAGTCAACATCTCCTAGCCACCGTGGTGTCAGGGTCTGGGATAGAACCCAGGACCTCCTGCGTACCAGGCGAGGTAGTCAACATCTCCTAGCCACCGTGGTGTTAGGGTCTGGGATCGAACCCACGACCTCCTGCGGACCAGGCGAGGTGGTCAACATCTCCTAGCCACTGTGGTGTCAGGGTCTGGGATCGAACCCACGACCTCCTGTGTACCAGGCGAGGTAGTCAACATCTCATAGCCACTGTGGTGTCAGGATCTGGGATCGAACCCACGACCTCCTGCGTACCAGGCGAGCTAGTCAACATCTCCTAGCCACCGTGGTGTCAGGGTCTGGGATCGAACCCACGACCTCCTGCGTACCAGGCGAGGTAGTCAACATCTCATAGCCAATGTGGTGTCAGGGTCTGGGATCGAACCCACGACCTCCTGCGTACCAGGCGAGGTAGTCAACATCTCATAGCCACTGTGGTGTCAGGGTCTGGGATCGAACACACGACCTCCTGTGTACCAGGCGAGGTGGTCAACATCTCCGAGGGACAGGTCTTGGACCCCCACCCAAGGCCGACTCAGACTCAAATGAGTTACCCGGCGCGGTTGTGCGGCAGTGAACGCTGGGGGAGACAAAGGCGGCCGGGCGTGGGGGTGTCGCCCACCCAGCCCTCATTTGGCACAGTGTCGGCCACAGGCACCGCCGGTGCTGCCGCTGCTAACGGCACTGCGTAGCCTACACAGAGCCCCCCGCTCCTCCTCTGCCTTGTGTGTTTACGTGTGTGCGTGTGTGTGTGCGTGTGCGTGTGTGTGTGTGTGCCTGTGTGTGTGTGCGTGTGTGTGTGCGTGTGTGTGTGTGCCTGTGTGTGTGTGCGTGTGTGTGTGTGTGTGTGCCTGTGTGTGTGTTTGTTTGTGTGTGCCTGTGTGTGTGTGCCTGTGTGTGTTTGTGTGTGCGTGTGTGCCTGTGCGTGTGTGCCTGTGTGTGTGCGTGTGTGCCTGTGTGTGTGTTTGTTTGTGTGTGCGTGCGTGTGTGCCTGTGTGTGTGTGTCTGTGTGTGTGTGTGCCTGTGTGTCTGTGTGTGTGCGTGTGTGCGTGTGTGCATGTGTGTGTGTCTGTGTGTGTGCGTGTGTGCATGTGTGTGTGTTTGTGTGTGCCTGTGTGTGTGTGTGCCTGTGTGTGTGTGTGTGTGCCTGTGTGTGTGTGTCTGTGTGTGCCTGTGTGTGTGTGTGTCTGTGTGTGCCTGTGTGTGTGTCTGTGTGTGTGTGTGCCTGTGTGTGTGCCTGTGTGTGTGTGTCTGTGTGTGCCTGTGTGTGTGTCTGTGTGTGTGTGTGCCTGTGTGTGTGTGCCTGTGTGTGTCTGTGTGTGTGCGTGCGAGGGAGCAGCTGAGCAAGCCGAGTCGGTGAGCTGCCTCTACGTGAGCCAGAGTCTGCAGCTCGCGCTCGTGGTGTTCACCCGGCCCATCAACGTGAGCCACTCACTCAGTCACTCACTCAGTCACTCACTCAGCCACTCACTCAGTCACTCACTCAGCCACCCAGCCACTCGCTCAGTCACTCACTCAGTCACTCACTCAGCCACTCAGCCACTCACTCAGCCACTCGCTCAGCCACTCAGCCACTCGCTCATCCACTCACTCAGCCACTCGCTCAGCCACTCAGCCACTCGCTCAGCCACTCAGCCACTCGCTCAGTCACTCACTCAGCCACTCAGCCACTCGCTCAGTCACTCACTCAGCCACTTAGCCACTCACTCAGCCACTCACTCAGTCACTCAGCCACTTAGCCACTCAGCCACTCGCTCAGCCACTCAGCCACTCGCTCAGCCACTCAGCTACTCACTCAGTCACTCACTCAGCCACTCGCTCAGCCACTCAGCCACTCGCTCAGCCACTCAGCCACTCGCTCAGTCACTCACTCAGCTACTTAGCCACTCACTCAGCCACTCACTCAGCCACTCACTCAGCCACTTAGCCACTCAGCCACTCACTCAGCCACTTAGCCACTCACTCAGCCACTCACTCAGTCACTCAGTCACTCACTCAGCCACTCACTCAGCCACTCAGCTACTCAGCCACTCAGCCACTCACTCAGCCACTGACTCAGCCACTTGCTCAGTCACTCACTCAGCCACTCAGCCACTCAGCCACTCGCTCAGCCACTCACTCAGCCACTCAGCCACTCGCTCAGTCACTCACTCAGCCACTCACTCAGACACTCACTCAGCCACTCACTCAGCCACTCACTCAGCCACTCAGCTACTCAGCCACTCACTCAGCCACTCATTCAGCCACTCATTCAGCCACTCACTCAGCCACTCGCTCAGCCACACGCTCATCCAGTCAGCCACTCACTCAGCCACTCAGCCACTCACTCAGCCACTCAGCTACTCTGCCACTCAGCCACTCACTCAGCCACTCACTCAGCCACTCACTCAGCCACTCACTCAGCCACTCACTCAGCCACTCACTCAGACACTCACTCAGCCACTCACTCAGCCACTCACTCAGACACTCACTCAGCCACTCACTCAGCCACTTAGCCACTCACTCAGCCACTCACTCAGCCACTCACTCAGCCACTCAGCTACTCGCTCAGCCACTCAGCCACTCGCTCAGTCACTCACTCAGCCACTCACTCAGACACTCACTCAGCCACTCACTCAGCCACTCATTCAGCCACTCACTCAGCCACTTAGCCACTCGCTCAGCCACTCAGCCACTCACTCAGCCACTCACTCAGCCACTCAGCTACTCAGCCACTCATCCACTCACTCAGCCACTGACTCAGCCACTGACTCAGCCACTCACTCAGCCACTCAGCCACTCACTCAGCCACTCAGCTACTCAGCCACTCAGCCACTGACTCAGCCACTCGCTCAGCCACTCAGCCACTCGCTCAGTCACTCACTCAGTCACTCACTCAGCCACTCACTCAGCCACTCACTCAGCCACTCAGCTACTCAGCCACTCAGCCACTCGCTCAGTCACTCACTCAGCCATTCACTCAGCCACTCGCTCAGCCACTCGCTCAGTCACTCACTCAGCCACTCGCTCAGCCACTCACTCAGTCACTCACTCAGCCACTCAGCCACTCGTGATGGTTGTGTGATGGTTGTGTGGTGGTTGTGTGATGGTTGCGTGATGGTTGTGTGTGATGGTTGTGTGATGGTTGTGTGATGGTTGTGTGATGGTTGTGTGGTGGTTGTGTGATGGTTGTGTGATGGTTGTGTGTGATGGTTGTGTGATGGTTGTGTTATGGTTGTGTGGTGGTTGTGTGGTGGTTGTGTGTGATGGTTGTGTGGTGGTTGTGTGTGATGGTTGTGTGTGATGGTTGTGTGCTGGTTGTGTGATGGTTGTGTGGTGGTTGTGTGTGGTGGTTGTGTGTGGTGGTTGTGTGTGGTGGTTGTGTGGTGGTTGTGTGTGGTGGTTGTGTGGTGGTTGTGTGTGATGGTTGTGTGTGATGGTTGTGTGTGGTGGTTGTGTGTGATGGTTGTGTGTGATGGTTGTGTGTGATGGTTGTGTGTGATGGTTGTGTGTGGGTGTGTGATGGTTGTGTGTGATGGTTGTGTGATGGTTGTGTGTGATAGTTGTGTGATGGTTGTGTGTGATGGTTGTGTGATGGTTGTGTGATGGTTGTGTGTGATGGTTGTGTGATGGTTGTGTGGTGGTTGTGTGGTGGTTGTGTGTGGTGGTTGTGTGTGATGGTTGTGTGTGATGGGTGTGTGTGATGGTTGTGTGTGATGGTTGTGTCTAGGTGTTGAAGGATGAGCAGGAGGAGGTGGTGGTTGTGTGTGATGGTTGTGTGTGATGGTTGTGTGGTGGTTGTGTGATGGTTGTGTGTGATGGTTGTGTCTAGGTGTTGAAGGATGAGCAGGAGGAGGTGGTTGTGTGATGGTTGTGTGTGATGGTTGTGTGATGGTTGTGTCTAGGTGTTGAAGGATCAGCAGGAGGAGGTGGTTGTGTGATGGTTGTGTGATGGTTGTGTCTAGGTGTTGAAGGATGAGCAGGAGGAGGTGGTTGTGTGTGATGGTTGTGTGTGATGGTTGTGTGATGGTTGTGTGTGATGGTTGTGTGATGGTTGTGTGGTGGTTGTGTCTAGGTGTTGAAGGATGAGCAGGAGGAGGTGGTTGTGTGTGATGGTTGTGTGATGGTTGTGTGATGGTTGTGTCTAGGTGTTGAAGGATGAGCAGGAGGAGGTGGTTGTGTGATGGTTGTGTGATGGTTGTGTGTGATGGTTGTGTGATGGTTGTGTGTGGTTGTGTGATGGTTGTGTGGTGGTTGTGTCTAGGTGTTGAAGGATGAGCAGGAGGAGGTGGTTGTGTGATGGTTGTGTGTGATGGTTGTGTGTGGTGGTTGTGTGATGGTTGTGTGATGGTTGTGTGATGGTTGTGTGGTGGTTGTGTCTAGGTGTTGAAGGATGAGCAGGAGGTGGTTGTTGTGTGGTGGTTGTGTGTGGTGGTTGTGTGTGGTGGTTGTGTGGTGGTTGTGTGATGGTTGTGTGGTGGTTGTGTGATGGTTGTGTCTAGATGTTGAAGGATGTGCAGGAGGAGGTGGTTGTGTGTGATGGTTGTGTGTGATGGTTGTGTGTGATGGTTGTGTGATGGTTGTGTGGTGGTTGTGTGATGGTTGTGTCTAGGTGTTGAAGGATGAGCAGGAGGAGGTGGTTGTGTGATGGTTGTGTGATAGTTGTGTGTGATGGTTGTGTGATGGTTGTGTGATGGTTGTGTGTGGTTGTGTGATGGTTGTGTGATGGTTGTGTCTAGGTGTTGAAGGATGAGCAGGAGGAGGTGGTTGTGTGTGATGGTTGTGTGTGATGGTTGTGTGTGATGGTTGTGTGATGGTTGTGTGTGATGGTTGTGTGGTGGTTGTGTGATGGTTGTGTGTGGTTGTGTCTAGGTGTTGAAGGATGAGCAGGAGGAGGTGGTTGTGTGTGATGGTTGTGTGATGGTTGTGTGTGATGGTTGTGTGTGATGGTTGTGTGGTGGTTGTGTGATGGTTGTGTGTGATGGTTGTGTGATGGTTGTGTCTAGGTGTTGAAGGATGAGCAGGAGGAGGTGGTTGTGTGATGGTTGTGTGTGATGGTTGTGTGTGATGGTTGTGTGTGATGGTTGTGTGGTGGTTGTGTGATGGTTGTGTGTGATGGTTGTGTGTGATGGTTGTGTGTGATGGTTGTGTGATGGTTGTGTCTAGGTGTTGAAGGATGAGCAGGAGGAGGTGGTTGTGTGATGGTTGTGTGTGATGGTTGTGTGATGGTTGTGTGATGGTTGTGTGATGGTTGTGTGTGATGGTTGTGTGATGGTTGTGTGTGATGGTTGTGTGGTGGTTGTGTCTAGGTGTTAAAGGATGAGCAGGAGGAGGTGGTTGTGTGATGGTTGTGTGTGATGGTTGTGTGATGGTTGTGTGATGGTTGTGTGTGATGGTTGTGTGATGGTTGTGTGTGATGGTTGTGTGGTAGTTGTGTCTAGGTGTTGAAGGATGAGCAGGAGGAGGTGGTTGTGTGTGATGGTTGTGTGATGGTTGTGTGGTGGTTGTGTGTGATGGTTGTGTGATGGTTGCGTGATGGTTGTGTGATGGTTGTGTGTGATGGTTGTGTGTGATGGTTGTGTGATGGTTGTGTGTGATGGTTGTGTGTGATGGTTGTGTGTGATGGTTTTGTGTGATGGTTGTGTGTGATGGTTGTGTGGTGGTTGTGTGATGGTTGTGTCTAGGTGTTGAAGGATGTGCAGGAGGAGGTGGTTGTGTGTGATGGTTGTGTGTGATGGTTGTGTGTGATGGTTGTGTGATGGTTGTGTGATGGTTGTGTGGTGGTTGTGTCTAGGTGTTGAAGGATGAGCAGGAGGAGGTGGTTGTGTGTGATGGTTGTGTGGTGGTTGTGTGATGGTTGTGTGATGGTTGTGTGTGGTGGTTGTGTGATGGTTGTGTGATGGTTGTGTGTGATGGTTGTGTGATGGTTGTGTCTAGGTGTTGAAGGATGAGCAGGAGGAGGTGGTTGTGTGATGGTTGTGTGTGATGGTTGTGTGATGGTTGTGTGTGATGGTTGTGTGGTGGTTGTGTGGTGGTTTTGTGATGGTTGTGTAGTGGTTGTGTGATGGTTGTGTGTGATGGTTGTGTGTGATGGTTGTGTGTGATGGTTGTGTGATGGTTGTGTGTGATGGTTGTGTGGTGGTTGTGTGGTGGTTGTGTCTAGGTGTTGAAGGATGAGCAGGAGGAGGTGGTTGTGTGTGATGGTTGTGTGTGATGGTTGTGTGATGGTTGTGTGTGATGGTTGTGTGTGATGGTTGTGTGATGGTTGTGTGATGGTTGTGTGTGATGGTTGTGTGTGGTGGTTGTGTGTGATGGTTGTGTATGATGGTTGTGTGGTGGTTGTGTGGTGGTTGTGTGTGATGGTTGTGTGTGATGGTTGTGTCTAGGTGTTGAAGGATGAGCAGGAGGAGGTGGTTGTGTGATGGTTGTGTGTGATGGTTGTGTGGTGGTTGTGTCTAGGTGTTGAAGGATGAGCAGGAGGAGGTGGTTCTCTGTGTCGATGGGAAACCGGCGCTGGGTTCTTGGGTGACCCCGGATCGACGCAACCGCCACTCCCTCGTCTGGGTGACAGCTACACCCTCACCCTACACCCTCACCCTACACCCTCACCCTCACCCTACACCCTCACCCTACACCCTCACCCTACACCCTCACCCTACACCCTCACCCTACACCCTACACCCTCACCCTACACCCTCACCCTACACCCTCACACTACACCCTCACCCTACACCCTCACCCTACACCTATCACCCTCACCCTACACCCTACACCCTCACCCTACACCCTCACCCTACACCCTACACCCTCACCCTACACCCTACACCCTCACCCTACACCCTACACCCTCACCCTACACCCTACACCCTACACCCTCACCCTACACCCTCACCCTACACCCTCACCCTCACCCTACACCCTCACCCTACACCCTCACCCTACACCCTCACCCTACACCCTCACCCTACACCCTCACCCTACACCCTCACCCTCACCCTACACCCTCACCCTACACCCTCACCCTACACCCTCACCCTACACCCTACACTTTCACCCTACACCTTCACCCTCACCCTACACCCTCACCCTACACCCTCACCCTACACCCTCACCCTACACCCTCACCCTACACCCTTACCCTCACCCTCACCCGGCAACCCTCACCCTTCACCCTCACCCTCACCCTACACCCTACACCCTCACCCTACACCCTCACCCTCACCCTACACCCTCACCCTACACCCTCACCCTACACCCTCACCCTATACCCTCACCCTACACCCTCACCCTCACCCTACACCCTCACCCTACACCCTCACCCTCACCCTACACCCTCACCCTACACCCTCACCCTCACCCTACACCCTCACCCTACACCCTCACCCTCACCCTACACCCTCACCCTACACCCTCACCCGGCAACCCTCACCCTACACCCTCACCCTACACCCTACACCCTACACCCTCACCCTACACCCTACACCCTCACCCTACACCCTCACCCTCACCCTACACCCTCACCCTACACCCTCACCCTCACCCTACACCCTCACCCTACACCCTCACCCTACACCCTCACCCTACACCCTCACCCTCACCCTACACCCTCACCCTCACCCTACACCCTCACCCTCACCCTACACCCTCACCCTACACCCTCACCCTACACCCTCACCCTCACCCTACACCCTCACCCTACACCCTCACCCTACACCCTCACCCTACACCCTCACCCTACACCCTCACCCTACACCCTCACCCTACACCCTCACCCTACACCCTTACCCTCACCCTCACCCGGCAACACCCTCACCCTACACCCTCACCCTACACCCTACACCCTCACCCTACACCCTCACCCTACACCCTCACCCTACACCCTACACCCTCACCCTAACACCCTCACCCTCACCCTACAACCCTCACCCTCACCCTACACCCTACACCCTCACCCTACACCCTCACCCTACACCCTACACCCTCACCCTACACCCTCACCCTGGCAACCCTCACCCTACACCCTCACCCTACACCCACACCCTACACCCTCACCCTACACCCTCACCCAACACCCTCACCCTACACCCTACACCCTCACCCTACACCCTCACCCTACACCCTACACCCTCACCCTACACCCTCACCCTACACCCTCACCCTACACCCTCACCCTACACCCTACACCCTCACCCTCACCCTACACCCTCACCCTCACCCTACACCCTCACCCTACACCCTCACCCTACACCCTCACCCTCACCCCTACACCCTCACCCTACACCCTCACCCTACACCCTCACCCTACACCCTCACCCTACACCCTCACCCTACAACCCTCACCGTACACCCTTACACCTCACCCTCACCCGGCCACCCTCACCCTCACCCTACACCCTCACCCTCACCCATACACCCTACACCCTCACCCTACACCCTCACCCTCACCCTCACCCTACACCCTCACCCTACACCCTCACCCTACACCCTACACCCTCACCCTACACCCTCACCCTCACCCTCACCCTACACCCTCACCCTACACCCTCACCCTACACCCTCACCCTCACCTACACCCTCACCCTACACCCTCACCTGCAACCCTCACCCTACACCCTCACCCTACACCCTACCACCCTCCACCCTCACCCTACACCCTCACCCTACACCCTCACCCTACACCCTCACCCTCACCTACACCCTCACCCTACACCCTCACCCTCACCCTACACCCTCACCCTACACCCTCACCCTACACCCTCACCCTACACCTCACCCTACACCCTCCCCTACACCCTCACCCTCACCCATACACCCTCACCCTCACCCTACACCCTCACCCTCACCCTACACCCTCACCCTACACCCTCACCCTACACCCTCACCCTCACCCTACACCCTCACCCTACACCCTCACCCTACAACCCTCACCCTACAACCCTCACCCTACACCCTCACCCTACACCCTCACCCTACACCCTCACCGTACACCCTTACCCTCACCCTCACCCGGCAACCCTCACCCTCACCCTCACCCTACACCCTACACCCTCACCCTACACCCTCACCCTCACCCTAAAACCCTCACCCTACACCCTACACCCTACACCCTCACCCTACACCCTCACCCTCACCCTACACCCTCACCCTACACGCCTCACCCTCACCCTACACCCTCACCCGGCAACCCTCACCCTACACCCTCACCCTACACCCTCACCCTACACCCTCACCCTACACCCTACACCCTCACCCTCACCCTCCACCCTCACCCTCTACCCTACACCCTCACCCTACACCCTCACCCTCACCCTACACCCTCACCCTACACCCTCACCCTACACCCTCACCCTACACCCTCACCCTCACCCTACACCCTCACCCTCACCCTACACCCTCACCCTACACCCTCACCCTACACCCTACACCCTCACCCTACACCCTCACCCTACACCCCTCACCCTACACCCTCACCCTACACCCTCACCGTACACCCTTACCCTCACCCTCACCCGGCAACCCTCACCCTCACCCTACACCCTCACCCTCACCCTACACCCTACACCCTCACCCTACACCCTCACCCTCACCCTACACCCTCACCCTACACCCTCACCCTACACCCTACACCCTCACCCTACACCCTCACCCTCACCCTACACCCTCACCCTACACCCTCACCCTCACCCTACACCCTCACCCGGCAACCCTCACCCTACACCCTCACCCTACACCCTCACCCTACACCCTCACCCTACACCCTCACCCTCACCCTACACCCTCACCCTCACCCTACACCCTCACCCTACACCCTCACCCTCACCCTACACCCTCACCCTACACCCTCACCCTACACCCTCACCCTACACCCTCACCCTCACCCTACACCCTCACCCTCCCCCTACACCCTCACCCTCACCCTACACCCTCACCCTACACCCTCACCCTACACCCTCACCCTCACCCTACACCCTCACCCTACACCCTCACCCTACACCCTCACCCTACACCCTCACCCTACACCCTCACCCTACACCCTCAACGTACACCCTTACCCTCACCCTCACCCGGCAACCCTCACCCTCACCCTACACCCTCACCCTCACCCTACACCCTACACCCTCACCCTACACCCTCACCCTCACCCTACACCCTCACCCTACACCCTCACCCTACACCCTACACCCTCACCCTACACCCTCACCCTCACCCTACACCCTCACCCTACACCCTCACCCTCACCCTACACCCTCACCCGGCAACCCTCACCCTACACCCTCACCCTACACCCTCACCCTACACCCTCACCCTCACCCTACACCCTCACCCTACACCCTCACCCTACACCCTCACCCTCACCCGGCAACCCTCACCCTACACCCTCACCCTACACCCTCACCCTACACCCTCACCCTCACCCGGCAACCCTCACCCGCAAGCCTCACCATCACCCGCAACCCCTCCACCCTCACCCGGCAACCCCTCACCCTCACCTGGGCTAGAGAAGAGATGGAGTGATGTGGAGGAGGCTCGTGAAGGACGCTAGTGGGCAGTTGGAGGCAGTCGCCCTCCAACAACAACGGAGGGCGGAGGAGCGACGCTCACAACAACGAGCGGAGCGCCGGGTGGCTAAAGCACAGCAGGTTGGCACAGTAGGGGGCACAGGTGGTGCATCAGCCAGTCATCTCAGTCAGTCGACCCGTGGCACCTGGGTCTGCCCCGTGACCTCCTGCCAGCGGGCGTTCGACACTCCACGTGGCCTCAATGTGCACATAGCCTGGCACAAGCGTCGTGGTGACGTCACCGCCACTTAGTGGCGAATGGCGGTTGTTGTTGTTGTGTCTGTGTGTGTGTCTCTGAGTTCGATTCTCGCTCACCAGTGACGATTATCTGAACCGCTCCCGGGCCTCCCCTAGGTCGGCTCAGCCTCAAATGAGTTACCAGGTGCTGTGTGGTGTGTAGTGAACATCGCCACTGGGAGAGACAAAGGTGGCCGGGCGTGGTGCTGGTAGCCACCCACCCCCTCATGTGCCACAGTGCCGGTAGCCTTCCTAGGTGCTGCTGCTACTACTCGCTAACAGCACTTGCCCCTACAGTCTGTCGAGGCTACACGGGGGAGCTTTGTCTGTGTGTGTGTGGGGAGCGGTGGTTCAGCGGTTAGCGCTATGAACCCGGCGACCCGGGTTCGATTCCCGCTCACGGCCAACACCACCAGTGACGATTTTCTGAACCGGTCCCGGGCCTCCCCTAGGTCGGCTCAGCCTCAAATGAGTTACCTGGTGCGGTGTGTAGTAAACATCGCCATTGGGAGAGACAAAGGCGGCCGGGCGTGGTGCTGGCCACCCACCCCCTCGTGTACCGTTACCGGCCTTCATAGGTGCTCGCTAACAGTACTTGCCCCTACAGTCTGTTGAGGCTGCACGGGGGATCTTTGTCTTTGTAGGTGCTGCTCACTAACAGCACTTGCCCCTACAGTCTGTTGAGGCTACACGGGGGATCTTTGTCTTTGTAAGTGCTGCTCGCTAACAGCACTTGCCCCTACAGTCTGTTGAGGCTACACGGGGGATCTTTGTCTTTGTAGCTCGCTAACAGCACTTGCCCCTACAGTCTGTTGAGGCTACACGGGGGATCTTTGTCTTTGTAGCTCGCTAACAGCACTTGCCCCTACAGTCTGCTGAGGCTACACGGGGGATCTTTGTCTTTGTAGCTCGCTAACAGCACTTGCCCCTACAGTCTGTTGAGGCTGCACGGGGGATCTTTTTCTTTGTAGGTGAATGCTCGCTAACAGCACTTGCCCCTACAGTCTGTTGAGGCTACCCGGGGGATCTTTGTCTTTGTAGGTGAATGCTCGCTAACAGCACTTGCCCCTACAGTCTGTTGAGGCTACCCGGGGGGTCTTTGTCTTTGTAGCTGTGCCTGCTGCAAGACGCTCTGCGTGGTGGGGAGAGCGTGCGAGTGCATTGGGGGGACAGACCCCCGAAAGAGTGCGTGCTTGGACAAGGCAAGATCCTGCACACACGTCCACCTGCTCAGCTACACGGACACCCACTCAGCTACACGGACACACGCTCAGCCACACGGACACACGCTCAGCCACACGGACACACGCTCAGCCACACGGACACACGCTCAGCCACACGGACACACGCTCAGCCACACGGTCACCAACTCAGCTACACGGACACCCGCTCAGCCACACGTCCACCCGCTCAGCCACACGGACACACACTCAGCCACACGGTCACCCACTCAGCTACACGGTCACCCGCTCAGCTACACGGTCACCCAATCAGCCACACGGTCACCCACTCAGCCACACGGTCACCCGCTCAGCCACACGTCCACCCACTCAGCCACACGGACACACGCTCAGCTACACAGTCACCCGCTCAGTTACACGGTCACCCGCTCAGCTACACGGTCACCCCGCTCAGCTACACAGACACCCACTCAGCTACACGGACACCCACTCAGCTACACAGTCACCCGCTCAGCTACACGGTCACCCGCTCAGCTACACGGTCACCCGCTCAGCTACACGGACACACACTCAGCTACACGGTCACCCACTCAGCTACACGGACACCCGCTCAGCTACACGGTCACCCGCTCAGCTACACGTCCACCCACTCAGCTACACCGTCACCCACTCAGCCACACGGACACACGCTCAGCCACACGGACACACGCTCAGCCCGTACGGTCAAGCGCTCAGCCACACGGACACACGCTCAGCTACACGGTCACACACTCAGTTACACGTCCACCCACTCAGCTACACGGTCACCCACTCAGCTACACGGTCACCCGCTCAGTTACACGTCCACCTACTCAGCTACACGGTCACACACTCAGCTACACCGTCACCCGCTCAGTTACACGGACACCCACTCAGCTACACGGTCACCCGCTCAGCTACACGGTCACCCACTCAGCCACACGGTCACCCGCTCAGCCACACGGTCACCCGCTCAGCTACACGGTCACCCACTCAGCTACACGGTCACCCGCTCAGCTACACGTCCACCCACTCAGCCACACGGTCACCCGCTCAGCTACACCGTCACCCACTCAGCCACACGGTCACCCACTCAGCTACACGTCCACCCACTCAGCCACACGGTCACCCGCTCAGCTACACGTCCACCCACTCAGCCACACGGACACACGCTCAGCCACACGGACACCCGCTCAGCCACACGGTCACCCGCTCAGCCACACGTCCACCCGCTCAGCTACACGGTCACCCGCTCAGCTACACGGTCACCCACTCAGCCACACGGACACACACTCAGCTACACAGTCACCCACTCAGCTACACGGACACACACTCATCTACACGGACACACGCTCAGCTACACGTCCAACCGCTCAGATACACGGTCACCCGCTCAGCTACACGTCCACCCGCTCAGCTACACGTCCACCCACTCAGCCACATGGACACACGCTCAGCTACACGTCCACCCGCTCAGCCACACGGTCACGCGCTCAGCTACACGTCCACCCACTCAGCCACACGGACACACGCTCAGCCACACGGACACCCGCTCAGCCACACGTCCACCCGCTCGGCTACACGGTCACCCGCTCAGCCACACGTCCACCCACTCAGCTACACGTCCACCCACTCAGCCACACGGACACACGCTCAGCCACACGGACACCCGCTCAGCCACACGGTCACCCGCTCAGCCACACGTCCACCTGCTCAGCTACACGGTCACCCGCTCAGCTACACGGTCACCCGCTCAGCTACACGGTCACCCACTCAGCCACACGGACACACACTCAGCTACACAGTCACGCGCTCAGCCACACGGTCACCCACTCAGCCACACGGACACCCACTCAGCTACACCGTCACCCACTCAGCCACACGGTCACCCACTCAGCCACACGTCCACCCGCTCAGCTACACGGACACCCACTCAGCCACATGGACACACGCTCAGCTACACGGACACCCACTCAGCCACACGGACACCCGCTCAGCTACACGGACACACACTCAGCCACACGTCCACCCACTCAGCTACACGGTCACCCGCTCAGCCACACGTCCACCCGCTCAGCTACACAGTCACCCACTCAGCCACACGGACACACACTCAGCTACACAGTCACCCACTCAGCTACACGTCCACCCGCTCAGCCACACGTCCACCCGCTCAGCCACACGTCCACCCGCTCAGCTACACGGTCACACACTCAGCTACACGTCCACCCACTCAGCTACACGGTCACCCACTCAGCCACACGGACACACACTCAGCTACACGTCCACCCGCTCAGCTACACGTCCACCCACTCAGCCACATGGACACACGCTCAGCTAAACGGTCACCTACTCAGCCACACGGGCACCTACTCAGCTACACGTCCACCCGCTCAGCTACACGGTCACCCGCTCAGCTACACGTCCACCCACTCAGCCACATGGACACACGCTCAGCTAAACGGTCACCTACTCAGCCACACGGGCACCTACTCAGCTACACGTCCACCCGCTCAGCTACACGGACACCCACTCAGCCACACGTCCACCCACTCAGCCACACGGACACACGCTCAGCTACACGGACACCCGCTCAGCTACACGTCCACCCGCTCAGCCACACGGACACCCACTCAGCCACACGGGCACCTACTCAGCTACACGTCCACCCACTCAGCTACACGGTCACCCGCTCAGCTACACGTCCACCCACTCAGCCACACGGACACCCACTCAGCCACACGTCCACCCACTCAGCCACACAGACACCCACTCAGCCACACGGTCACCCGCTCAGCTACACGTCCACCCGCTCAGCCACACGGACACCCACTCAGCTACACGGACACCCGCTCAGCCACACGGACACACGCTCAGCCACACGTCCACCCGCTCAGCCACACGGTCACCCGCTCAGCTACACGGTCACCCGCTCAGCTACACGGTCACCCACTCAGCCACACGGACACACACTCAGCTACACAGTCACGCGCTCAGCCACACGGTCACCCACTCAGCCACACGGACACCCACTCAGCTACACCGTCACCCACTCAGCCACACGGTCACCCACTCAGCCACACGTCCACCCGCTCAGCTACACGGACACCCACTCAGCCACACGGACACCCGCTCAGCTACACGGACACACACTCAGCCACACGTCCACCCACTCAGCTACACGGTCACCCGCTCAGCCACACGTCCACCCGCTCAGCTACACAGTCACCCACTCAGCCACACGGACACACACTCAGCTACACAGTCACCCACTCAGCTACACGTCCACCCGCTCAGCCACACGTCCACCCGCTCAGCCACACGTCCACCCGCTCAGCTACACGGTCACACACTCAGCTACACGTCCACCCACTCAGCTACACGGTCACCCACTCAGCCACACGGACACACACTCAGCTACACGTCCACCCGCTCAGCTACACGTCCACCCACTCAGCCACATGGACACACGCTCAGCTAAACGGTCACCTACTCAGCCACACGGGCACCTACTCAGCTACACGTCCACCCGCTCAGCTACACGGTCACCCGCTCAGCTACACGTCCACCCACTCAGCCACATGGACACACGCTCAGCTAAACGGTCACCTACTCAGCCACACGGGCACCTACTCAGCTACACGTCCACCCGCTCAGCTACACGGACACCCACTCAGCCACACGTCCACCCACTCAGCCACACGGACACACGCTCAGCTACACGGACACCCGCTCAGCTACACGTCCACCCGCTCAGCCACACGGACACCCACTCAGCCACACGGGCACCTACTCAGCTACACGTCCACCCACTCAGCTACACGGTCACCCGCTCAGCTACACGTCCACCCACTCAGCCACACGGACACCCACTCAGCCACACGTCCACCCACTCAGCCACACGGACACCCACTCAGCCACACGGTCACCCACTCAGCTACACGTCCACCCGCTCAGCCACACGGACACCCACTCAGCTACACGGACACCCGCTCAGCCACACGGACACACGCTCAGCCACACGTCCACCCGCTCAGCCACACGGTCACCCGCTCAGCTACACGGTCACCCGCTCAGTTACACGGACACCCACTCAGCTACACGTCCACCCACTCAGCCACACGGTCACCCGCTCAGCCACACGGTCACCCACTCAGCTACACGGTCACCCGCTCAGCCACATGGACACACGCTCAGCTACACGGACACCCACTCAGCTACACGGTCACCCACTCAGCTACACGGTCACCCGCTCAGCCACACGGACACACGCTCAGCTACACGGACACCCGCTCAGATACACGGTCACCCGCTCAGCCACACGGACACCCGCTCAGCCACACGGACACCCGCTCAGCTACACGGTCACCCACTCAGCTACACGTCCACCCGCTCAGCCACACGGTCACCCGCTCAGCCACACGGTCACCCACTCAGCTACACGTCCACCCACTCAGCTACACGGTCACCCACTCAGCTACACGGTCACCCACTCAGCTACACGGTCACCCATTGTGTCTCCACCCCCCGTGTCTCCACCCCCCCCCCCCCGTGTCTCCCCCCCCCCCCCCCGTGCTGCAGGCGGAGGTGAGAGTTGGATCCGGGACGAGGTGAGCGAGGTGGGCGGGGCCGCGCTGGGGGCGGGGCTTAGTCCGGAGCTTGACTCCGCCCTCCTGCAGGAGCAACTGCACAGCTGCACGGAGCTGCTGCAAATGGAGCCACGCAACAAGTGTGAGTGTTTCATTCTCTCCGGAGAGTGTTTCATTCTCTCCGGAGAGTGTTTCATTCCCTCCGGAGAGTGTTTCATTCCCTCCGGAGAGTGTTTCATTCGCTTCGGAGAGTGTTTCATTCTCTCCGGAGAGTGTTTCATTCTCTCTGGAGAGTGTTTCATTCTCTCCGGAGAGTGTTTCATTCTCTCTGGAGAGTGTTTCATTCTCTCCGGAGAGTGTTTCATTCTCTCCGGAGAGTGTTTCATTCTCTCCGGAGAGTGTTTCATTCTCTCCGGAGAGTGTTTCATTCTCTCCGGAGAGTGTTTCATTCTCTCCGGAGAGTGTTTCATTCTCTCCGGAGAGTGTTTCATTCTCTCTGGAGAGTGTTTCATTCTCTCCGGAGAGTGTTTCATTCTCTCCGGAGAGTGTTTCATTCTCTCCGGAGAGTGTTTCATTCTCTCTGGAGAGTGTTTCAGTCTCTCTGGAGAGTGTTTCATTCTCTCCGGAGAGTGTTTCATTCTCTCTGGAGAGTGTTTCATTCTCTCCGGAGAGTGTTTCATTCTGTCCGGAGAGTGTTTCATTCTCTCTGGAGAGTGTTTCATTCTCTCTGGAGTGTTTCATTCTTTATGGAGAGTGTTTCATTCTCTCTGGAGTGTTTCATTCTCTCTGGAGTGTTTCAGTCTCTCCGGAGAGTGTTTCATTCTCTCTGGAGAGTGTTTCAGTCTCTCCGGAGAGTGTTTCAGTCTCTCCGGAGAGTGTTTCATTCTCTCCGGAGAGTTTCATTCTCTCCGGAGAGTGTTTCATTCACTCTGGAGAGTGTTTCATTCACTCCGGAGAGTGTTTCATTCTCTCTGGAGAGTGTTTCATTCTCTCCGGAGAGTGTTTCATTCTCCCTGGAGTGTTTCATTCTCTCTGGAGTGTTTCATTCGCTCCGGAGTGTTTCATTCGCTGCGGAGAGTGTTTCATTCGCTTCGGAGAGTATTTCATTCTCTTCGGAGAGTGTTTCATTAGCTGCGGAGAGTGTTTCATTCTCTCCGGAGTGTTTCATTCTCTCCGGAGTGTTTCATTCTCTCCGGAGAGTGTTTCGTTCTCTCCGGAGTGTTTCATTCTCTCCGGAGTGTTTCATTCTCTCCGGAGAGTGTTTCATTCTCTCTGGAGAGTGTTTCAGTCTCTCCGGAGAGTGTTTCATTCACTCCGGAGAGTGTTTCATTCTCTCTGGAGAGTGTTTCATTCTCTCCAGAGAGTGTTTCATTCTCTCTGGAGTGTTTCATTCGCTCCGGAGTGTTTCATTCGCTGCGGAGAGTGTTTCATTCGCTTCGGAGAGTCTTTCATTCTCTTCGGAGAGTGTTTCATTAGCTGCGGAGAGTGTTTCATTCTCTCCGGAGTGTTTCATTCTCTCCGGAGTGTTTCATTCTCTCCGGAGAGTGTTTCGTTCTCTCAGGAGTGTTTCATTCTCTCCGGAGTGTTTCATTCTCTCCGCAGAGTGTTTCATTCTCTCCGGAGTGTTTCATTCTCTCCGGAGAGTGTTTCGTTCTCTCAGGAGTGTTTCATTCGCCGTGGAGACGTCACCGCCACTTAGTGGCGAATGGCGGTTGTTGTTGTTGACGGTGGTGATGGCAGTGCCGGTGAGGGTAATGGTGGTGGTGGCTGCGATGGTGGTGATGGCTGCGATGGTGGTGATGTTGGTGATGTTGGTGATGTTGCTGATGGCTGCGATGGTGGCTGTGGTGGTGATGGTGGTGGTGGTGGTTGCCGCTGGTGGTGGAGGCTGCGATGGCGGTGATGTTGGTGATGGCTGCGATGGTGGCGGTGGTGGTGGCTGTGGTGGTGGTGGTGGTTGCCGCTGGTGGTGGTGGCTGAGATGGGGATGGCTGTGGTGGTGGTGATGGCGGTGGCTGCGGTGGCTGCGGTGGTGGTGGTGGCGGCTGCGGTGGTGGTGGTGGTGGTGGTTGCCGCTGGTGGCAGTGGCTGCGATGGTGACGATGGCTGCGATGGTGACGATGGCTGTGGTGGTGATGGTGGCGATGGCTGCGGTGGTGGCGATGGCTGCGGTGGTGATGATGACGATGGCTGCGGTGGTGACGACGGTGGTGATGGCTGCGGTGGTGACGATGGCGGTGGCTGTGGTGGTGATGATGACGATGGCTGCGATGATGATGATGACGATGGCTGCGGTGGTGGTGATGGTGACGATGGCTGCGGTGGTGACGATGGCGGTGGCTGCGGTGGTGACGGTGACGATGGCTGCGATGGCGACGATGGCTGCGGTGGTGACGGTGACGATGGCTGCGATGGCGACGATGGCTGCGGTGGTGACGGTGACGATGGCTGCGGTGGTGATGATGACGATGGCTGCGGTGGTGACGATGGCTGCGATGGTGATGATGACGATGGCTGCGGTGGTGATGATGACGATGGCTGCGGTGGTGACGATGGCTGCGGTGGTGATGGTGACGATGGCTGCGGTGGCGATGGTGGTGATGGCTGCGATGGTGACGATGGCTGCGGTGGTGACGGTGACGATGGCTGTGATGGTGACGATGGCTGTGATGGTGACGATGGCTGCGGTGGCGATGGTGGTGATGGCTGCGATGGTGACGATGGCTGCGGTGGTGACGATGGCGATGGCTGTGATGGTGACGATGGCTGTGATGGTGACGATGGCTGTGGTGGTGATGGTCACGATGGCGATGGCTGTGATGGTGACGATGGCGATGGCTGTGATGGTGACGATGGTTGTGATGGTGACGATGGCTGTGGTGGTGATGGTCACGATGGCGATGGCTGTGATGGTGACGATGGCGATGGCTGTGATGGTGACGATGGCTGTGATGGTGACGATGGTGACGATGGCTGTGGTGGTGATGTTGGCGATGTCTGCGATGGTGATGTTGGCGATGTCTGCGATGGTGACGATGGCGATGGCTGTGATGGTGACGATGGCTGCGGTGGTGGCGATGGTGACGATGGCTGTGGTGGTGATGGTGACGATGGCTGCGGTGGCCATGACGACCGCGGCGGCGGCGGCGGCGGCGGCGGCGTCATTTACCGTCACCGGTGCCCGGTGCCCGGTGCCCGGCGTGGCCGTGCAGGGTGCCTGCTGGTGCTGGTGCTGCTCATGCGGGCCCTGGATCCGCTGTCGTGTCAGCGCCAGTGCCTGGGCCACCTGGACACGCTGGCGGGCGTCGACCCGGGACGCTGCTGCTACTACCGGGACGCACGCAGCCGCCTGCTCCTGGCCAACGCCGTGCTCACCGTGGAGTACGCGGACACGCGCGTGCTGGCACTGCCCGGCAGGGTGAGGGTACACACACACAGTGTACACACACACACAGGGTACACACACACAGTGTACACACATAGAGGGTACACACACAGAGTACACACACAGAGTACACACACACACAGAGTACACACACAGAGTACACACACAGAGGACACGCGCGTGCTGGCGCTGCCCGGCAGGGTGAGAGTACACACATAGTGTACACACACAGTGTACACACACAGTGTACACACACAGTGTACACACACAGTGTACACACACAGAGGACACGCGCGTGCTGGCGCTGCCCGGCAGGGTGAGGGTACACACATAGTGTACACACAGAGTACACACACACAGTGTACACACACACACACAGGGTACACACACACAGTGTACACACACAGTGTACACAGTGTACACACAGGGTACACACACACACAGGGTACACACACAGTGTACACACACACACACAGGGTACACACACACACAGGGTACACACACAGTGTACACACACACACAGAGTACACACACACAGAGTACACACACACAGAGTACACACACAGAGGGTACACACACAGTACACACACACACACAGTGTACACACACACAGTGTACACACACAGTGTACACACACAGGGTACACACACACAGTGTACACACACAGAGTACACACACACACACAGGGTACACACACACACAGGGTACACACACAGTGTACACACACACACAGAGTACACACACACAGAGTACACACACACAGAGTACACACACAGAGGGTACACACACAGTACACACACACACACACACAGTGTACACACACACAGTGTACACACACAGTGTACACACACAGGGTACACACACACAGTGTACACACACAGAGTACACAGTGTACACACACAGAGTACACACACAGGGTACACACACACACAGTGTACACACACACACAGGGTACACACACAGTGTACACACACACACAGAGTACACACACACAGAGTACACACACACAGAGTACACACACACAGAGTACACACACAGAGGGTACACACACAGTACACACACACACACACAGGGTACACACACACAGTGTACACACACACACAGGGTACACACACACAGAGTACACACACACAGAGTACACACACAGAGGGTACACACACAGTACACACACACACACAGGGTACACACACACAGTGTACACACACAGAGGGTACACACACACACACAGTGTACACACACACAGTGTACACACACAGTGTACACACACAGGGTACACACACACAGAGTACACACACAGTGTACACACACAGGGTACACACACACAGAGTACACACACAGTGTACACACACAGTGTACACACACAGTGTACACACACACAGAGTACACACACACACACAGTGTACACACACACACAGTGTACACACACACAGAGTACACACACACACAGTGTACACACACAGTGTACACACACACACAGTGTACACACACACAGTGTACACACACAGTACACACACAGAGTACACACACAGAGTACACAGTGTACACACACAGTGTACACACACACAGTACACACACACACAGGGTACACACACAGAGTACACACACACAGGGTGTACACACACACACAGTGTACGCACACACACACACAGTGTACACACACACACAGAGTACACACACAGAGTACACACACAGAGTACACACACAGTGTACACACACAGTACACACACACACAGTGTAAACACACACAGAGTACACACACAGGATACACACAGAGGACACAAACACAGAGTACACACACAGAGTACACACACAAACAGAGTACACACAGACAGAGTACACACAGGGTACACACATAGTACACACACACACAGAGTACACACACAGGGTACACACACACAGAGGACACGCGCGTGCTGGCGCTGCCCGGCAAGGTGAGGGCACGCACACACAGAGTACACACACAGTGTACACACACACAGTGTACACACACAGTGTACACACACAGAGTACACACACAGAGTACACACACAGTGTACACACACACAGAGTACACACACAGTGTACACACACACAGTGTACACACACAGTGTACACACACAGAGTACACACACAGAGTACACACACAGTGTACACACACACAGAGTACACACACAGTGTACACACACAGAGTACACACACAGTGTACACACACACAGTGTACACACACACAGTGTACACACACAGAGTACACACACAGAGTACACACACAGTGTACACACACACAGTGTACACACACAGTGTACACACACAGAGTACACACACAGAGTACACACACACAGAGTACACACACAGTGTACACACACAGAGTACACACACAGTGTACACACACACAGTGTACACACACACAGTGTACACACACAGAGTACACACACAGAGTACACACACACAGTGTACACACACACAGTGTACACACACAGAGTACACACACAGAGTACACACACACAGAGTACACACACAGTGTACACACACAGTGTACACACACAGTGTACACACACAGAGTACACACACAGAGTACACACACACACAGTGTACACACACAGAGTACACACACAGGGTACACACACAGAGTACACACACAGAGTACACACACACAGAGTACACACACACAGAGGACACACACACACAGTGTACACACACAGTACACACACAGGGTACACACACAGAGTACACACACAGGGTACACACAGAGTACACACACACAGAGTACACACACACAGAGGACACACACACACAGTGTACACACACAGTACACACACAGAGTACACACACAGGGTACACACACACACAGGGTACACACACAGAGTACACACACAGAGTACACACACAGTGTACACACACACAGAGTACACACACACAGAGTACACACACACACACAGAGTACACACACAGAGTACACACACACAGAGTACACACAGAGTATACACACACAGTACACACACACAGAGTACACACACAGAGTACACACACAGAGTACACACAGAGTATACACACACAGAGTACACACACACAGTACACACACACAGAGTACACACACACAGTACACACACACAGTGTACACACACACACAGTGTACACACACACAGAGTACACACACACACACAGAGTACACACACACAGAGTACACACACAGAGTACACACACACACACACAGAGTACACACACACACACAGAGTACACACAGAGTATACACACACAGTACACACACACAGAGTACACACACAGAGTACACACACAGAGTACACACAGAGTATACACACACAGAGTACACACACACAGTACACACACACAGACTACACACACACAGTACACACACACAGTGTACACACACACACAGTGTACACACACACAGAGTACACACACACACACAGAGTACACACACACACAGAGTACACACACACAGAGTACACACACAGAGTACACACGCACACAGAGTACACACACACAGTGTACACACAGAGTACACACACACACAGCGTACACACACAGAAGACACAAGCGTACTGGCGCTGCCCGGCAGGGTGAGGGCACGCACACACGCAGTGTACACACACACACAGTGTACACACACACAGTGTACACACACACAGAGTATACAGACAGAGTACACACACAAACAGTATACACACATACACAGAGTACACACACGCGTACACACACAGAGTACACACACAGAGTACACACACACACAGAGTACACACACACACACACAGTACACACACAGAGTACACACACGCGTACACACAGAGTACACACACACAGAGTACACACACACAGTACACACACACAGAGTACACACACACACATTATACACACACACAGAATACACACACACAGTATATACACACACACACACACATTATACACACACAGTATACACACACACAGAGTACACACACGCGTACACACACACACATTATACACACACACACAGATTACACACACACAGTATACACAGAGTACACACACGCGTACACACACAGAGTACACACACACGTGTTGCTGCTGCTACTGTTGTTGTTGTTGTTGCTACTGTTGTTGCTACTGTTGTTGTTGTTGCTGATACTGTTGTTGTTGTTGTTGCTGCTGCTGCAGGCGCTGTCAAGTCTGTTCCACCTGGAGCAGCTGGTGCTCGTGACGCACCTCAACCTGTCCAACAACAGCCTGCACTGTCTCCCACGCACACTCAGCTGTCTCCAGAGCCTTCAGGTAGTGTCATAGACACACACAGTCACACTCACACACACTCACACAGTCACACACACTCACACACACTCACACACACACAGTCACACTCACACACACA